GTAGATCTTAGTTGCCTGTCTAACAGACATATGCTTTATAGGGAGACCGTGGTGAGAGTGGCAATGCTGGACCCCCTGGACCTCCTGGTGCTCCTGGAGCCCCCGGAGGTGTCGGCCCCTCTGGCAAAACCGGTGAACGCGGAGAGAGTGTAAGTCCCCAATGATGCTGGACCTTTTTTTGATTCAGTTTGTCCCAAACTTCTGTGTGTGGTGTGTGTTGTTTCCTTTTGTATTAACCCTCTTTCCTTCCTTCAGGGTCCTGCTGGTCCCGCTGGTCCTGCTGGCATTGCTGGACCCCGTGGTTCTACTGTAAGTTCATCAATCTACGGCACATGAATCCCAGTTATCCACATTAAGTCTCAGAGTTGTGCATTAATATGTCATGGCATCTTTGGCAATTTTCAGGGCCCTGCTGGTGCTAAGGGAGACAGAGGAGAGGCTGGTGAGGCTGGAGATAGAGGCCACAAGGGACACAGAGGACTCAGCGGACAGCCTGGTCTGCCTGGACCTCCTGTGAGTCTCTACTACCACTTATGCACTGCTGAAAAAAAAAAAAAGAGTTTTATAATCCCTTAGGCATTCATTTCCACATATACAATCATATTCGATACATTAGAACACTACTGAACACTTTATATTGATCAGTTACTCGTAGATTGATGTTTTAAAGCTCTTAATGCTGTTAATTATGATGATGACGTCATTATCTTCGCCTGCTACCAGGGAGTTCATGGAGACAGAGGACCCGCTGGTGCTTCCGGACCCGCTGGACCCAGAGTAAGTCCAGCTGCTTTGCGTCACCATGCCAATATTTGGATACACCACTAACATTTGCGATGCTTTTACTAAAAAGCAAAAGTATTTTGAATTCCTTTACTGTGTCAAGATAAAGTCTCAGAGCATCAAATCTACTAATAATCAACAAAGTTAAGCTTATAAATGATTTGCTTTTCATTTTAGGGACCATCTGGAAACAACGGTTCCCCTGGTAAGGATGGACAGAACGGTTTGCCCGGACCCATCGGACCCCCTGGACCTCGTGGTCGCAATGGAGAGCTGGGACCTTCTGTGAGTTTCATTACTATTAGAAACCTTTCTAGTAAATTAGTGTAAACAGTGCAAAAGCAGAAGGAAACTGAACATGTATAAGATGTTTCAAAAGGCCTCTTCAAATCTAATCAAGTCTTTTAGGGACAAGTTAAGATGTCTGGGTGACTTTTACAAAAACCCTTAGGAACCCCTGCTGTAATTCTGCATATTTCATTACTGTCTTATCTCAAAACAGGGTCCACCTGGACCTCCTGGACCCCCTGGACCTCCTGGAGCCCCTGGCAGCGCCTTTGAATTCATTGCACCACCCCAGCAGGAGAAGGGCCCAGATCCTCTCCGTGGTGGCTACCGCGCTGATGACCCCAACATGATGCGCGACCGCGACATGGAGGTTGACACCACCTTGAAGACCCTGACCCAGAAGGTCGAGAATATCCGCAGCCCCGACGGCTCCCAGAAGAGCCCTGCTCGCATGTGCCGTGACTTGAGGATGTGCCACCCTGAATGGAAGAGCGGTGAGTGAGGATCAGAGTTCATAGACCTTTTTTTTTCTTTTAGCACCTTTTGCTAGACTTTGATTTTGATCAAACCTGAAACCCTCCTTATATTTTTCTCGGTTGCAGGCACATACTGGGTTGACCCGAACCAGGGCTCTTCTCTGGACGCCATCCAGGTCCACTGCAACATGGAGACTGGAGAGACCTGCGTCTACCCCATCGATTCCAACATCCCCATGAAGAACTGGTACCTCAGCAAGAACCTCAGAGAGAAGAAGCACATCTGGTTCAGCGAGTCCATGACCGGTGGATTCCAGGTGAGAGTCGCCGTCACGAAATCCCTCCGATTACTTCTAGTCAGTACGATCAAAGAGTGACTTTTGCTTCTACCCGTCACGCAGTTCCAGTATGGCACCGAGGGAGCTGATCCCGAGGATGTCAACATCCAGATCTCCTTCATGCGCCTGATGTCCAACCAGGCCTCACAGAACGTGACATATCACTGCAAGAACAGCATTGCCTACATGGATTCTGCAACAGGCAACCTGAAGAAGGCCCTCCTTCTCCAGGGCTCCAACGATGTCGAGATCAGAGCCGAGGGCAACAGCCGCTTCACATACAGCGTCAGCGAGGATGGCTGCACGGTAAGTTCCCTCTGTCTTCGTATTGAGTCATATTTGTAGTTATGCACTCATACACATTTTATGGCCAATTTGTGATCAGAATAAGATTTAGATCAAAGACGCTGCATATAGGAACTTAGTAGCATTTTTAGCTAGCATAGTTAGGAGTAGCAAAGTAGCACTTTCTTTTGGTTTTACCTGGAGAAAGTTTGAGCTTTTCAAATCAAGCATGTCCCAAACAAACATGAGTTGTAAGCTCAATGAAATAAAAAAGCACCTTTGCTCTCTTTAGTCTTCTTGCTATCTAGTGAAGTCTTGCTCTTTCTTGCTGTCCAGCAGCCTAAATAAACTAGATGTGTTTGAATGTCTTCAAGAAAATACATGTTTGTTTTAAGTTGCTTCCTATGTCTTAGTGCTTTCTCTGGCCTCATTTATTTGGTCTTACTGATATTTCACATAGCAATGACATTTAATCTTCCGCTCTCAGTAACAACTTCCACACAGAAAGTGTGAGAAATATCTGGCAGAAGGCACCGTCCTCATAACTTTAAACCGAAACTATACTGCTAAGTCAAATAAAATAATTTATTTTATCCTAAGCACACTCTTCAGCTCAAAGTAGTAGTAGTACAAGGCCATCAGATATGATTAATCAAATTCAAAAGTGAATGTATCATTTGGATTGCTGATTTTTCTGTTCATCTCTATGTATCTATTAAGCTATTAGAGACTTATGTCTGTTTTGTCTTTCTGTTTCTCTCTACAGTCACACACTGGCACATGGGGCAAGACAGTCATCGACTACAAGACATCGAAAACATCCCGACTGCCCATCATTGACATTGCTCCTATGGATGTTGGTGCACCCGATCAGGAATTTGGCGTCGAAGTTGGCCCCGTTTGCTTCTTGTAAAAAAAAACAAAAACAAAAAAAAATGAAAGAAACATGGACATGACATTGTTGTTTTTTTCTAGCAGTCATCTCTAAAACCTCTTTTTTTTTCTTATGCAACCAAAACTCATTCGGCCGCCATTGGTCCACAATGCTTTAAAACCACTCCACTGAAGACAGTGTCTGCATTTTTTTTTCCAACCCTGAGATGCTTTTTTTTGGGGGACTGCTACTTCATCTGAAAACCAACCACACAAGGACACTTTAACTAAAACTTTTTGATTCCACTGGCAACAAGAAAATAATGTACGTATGTGTAAAATTTCCCCAAAGGAGATGATTAAAAATAAGAGAAAAAAAAGAAAACAGAATCGGGTGACTTTTTACCTATTTCCTACCACTGCAGAAGGACTTTGAAAACAACAAATGATATGTACCATTTTTCTGGTGTTAAATAAATTGTAAAAAGTGTGGAGTGTCTTGTTGATCTAAATACATAAGAAAAACACCTGAACTTTGGACCAACAAAAGAACAAGACAATTAAGCTCACCTTCATTGCAATATATAGATGGCTACCTCAGAGTCACCCCCCAATTTTTCTTTAGAAATTGCCTATCGGGGGACATTAAACCATTTAAAGGTGCTATTACTAATCCAAATGAGGTCCAGTTATCAGTATTTGATGATCAAACTCTCACTCTCATACTGTAATTGTTGCCACTAATGCCTGCAGAACTTTGGTGCTACTAAATTCACTCATTGTCTTGTTGTCTATGCAGTGCAATTGTTTTCTTCTTTGAGTGTTGGTTTGATGACAGAGGCGATTGCTGCAGGTGTGATGCATGCATTCGTGTCTTTGTAGATACAAGCGAGTGACTTCCCCGCCCACATGTTCAGTGTTTGCCCCATCTGTGGAAAATCCCTTAAATATCCTTGGAAAAAAAAAGAAAGAAAAAAAAAAAAGGAAAGAAATCACTCAAAAGAATAGCACACATCTTCCCGGTTGTTTATGTTTCATTGATGTCTTTTTTTGCAGAGAGTTTCTTAAAAATGGAAATTGAAGCAGACCGACTTTCATGGTTTCAAGGAGAGATTCTGTACTTATTTTGTACATGTATAATAAATCAAGATGTTTTTAATTATTTTGGGTGCTGAAATAAAGCATGTGAAGTGGTCTACTCGGTGGCAGAGTTTTCACTGTTGTTAAAACTTAGAGTCACGCATTCAGAAAATATGTCTTGCATTTAAGACCGTGTTTTATACTCTCAGAGAGCGAGGCCTTTAACAAAAAGCTACATAAACATTTTGTGTTGCAATGAAGCAGTTTCTGTTTCTGACAAGCAGCAGTGAAAACAAGGCCAACATCTGATTGAAAAAAAAAAGATTTTTAGTTTAAATTCTCCAATAAGAAGCTTTGCGAGTGGCATAGCTGCATCTGCATCCTCCTGCAGAAGAATATCTTTCATTATCAGAAGACTAAAGATGTCTAAAGATAAAGCTTTAGTTTTTACCGAAGGGAAAAGACTGACACCTGGTGGATATTGTGTGCTATAACAACTATGGCGCCACAAATATACAAACACAAACGTGTGTTTTCTTTATTAGGCTATATGGAGTAATGAAAAAGAACAGCTTGCAGTTTGAGTGTATATATTTCGTACTTTATGAAATCTTTAAAGAATGAATTGCCTTCTAGTCAATCCCTTCAAACTTTCTACATTTCTACATTGAACAGAAAACCACAAAGTAAAAAAAAACAAGGAAATGACTTGTACAGGGTGATGTGGAAGGGTTTTGTTAACTTCTAGACCAAAATGTTCAGTTTTGGTCACATCTGTCCAGATAAGCCATTTTCACTTGTTTGCTACGTACTGAAGTTGGCTTGTGACATCCTGCACAATACGACTTCATGAAGCTTTCTTTCGAAAGTGGCTTTATTATTGCACTGGATTTTATTTAGAGGTTTCTGTCGGGGACTGAATACAAATGCTTAGATGCAGCTGACAATGTAATGTCAAAACAATAATTTTGCCTGCACTAATCATTTATTCACCTAATTTGAAAAGGTATTCTTGATGCACTCAAGAGGATGGGATCGTTTGACAATAATAGTGAACATAATAATTTGATTACTACAAGGAACAAGTTCAAAGGTCAGGAAATAAGTCTTGAAATGGACAAAACAATATAGAATAAGCTAAAAAACAGAAAAAAGAAAACACAAGCACAAATCATGAACAGCAAATAACAATATGATAAACTGGTTGTTTGGTTAATTGTGCTGCAAATAGGTCATTCCAAAAACTTGTGTATATGAAGCAAAGTTAATTACTTTGTGGAGCTTCAAAGATGCTTTATCTGTGACTGACATCACTTCCTGCAAACAAGGACGACATGAGAAGGAATGTAGTTATCGGTGTTGGCGAAAGGAGTGGATGTAGTGATTTGGTTTTACCTGGGCAGTGTGTCACTGTAGGGATCCCTGTGAGAAGAGCAGAAAAGTGACACGTCACAACAAAAGACACACAAACTCAGCACCAATTTATCAAATGGAGGAAATTAAGAAGGCCCTTGCGGCTCAGAAGCAATAGCAGTTAGCAGGAGAGTTTCTCACTGTTGGGCCATGATGAGAGGGATGCTGTCCGACTGCAGCGGTGACGCCCTCTCTCCTGTGCGGCTGTTAAACATGGGCAGCGTAGAGAGAGGAGGAGGGACCGCTCGTTGGGAGGCCATGCTTCTCAGCTCCTCAGTGTTCCCATGGATGGTTTGTTGATGGTACAGCTGGATGCTGCAGAAAGCAGAGCGTCACATTCAGGTTCGTGGAGTGTCTCGCAAAAGCGTTCACGTCCTCCTTTTTTTAGATTTTGCAAAGTAAGTTTACTTACTTGTCTGTTTTTGCATCCCTTTTTGCACTAGAAACAAAATGAGAAAAAAAACCCATTACATGAACGTAAACCTGTTGTGACCTGTGTTTTCTGTGTATTTATTTTGAGGTTTTTCTGTTTATTAGCCTGTTCCCCCGAGTCTCTGTCTTCCCTGTTGATTGTTCCCAGCTGTGTCTCGTTTCTTTGATTACCCTCCAAGTGTATTTAGTCCCACCTATTGTCTCTTGTCAGATCCTCCTTGTGTGTACCAGGCAGTTTCCCTGTGCCATCGTGTATTTGTTGCGCTCCATGGATATTTATCATTAAATCATCATCATCTTCATCCTGGCCTGCCTGCGTCTTCCCTCACCTCACCAAAACCCCAACCAAGACAAAACCATGGTATCTCATTTTTATTTTGGGCATTCAAAACGGATACTTACACCCCCTCACGCCTGCCATACATGATGTAGGCCAGCAGCAGACACAGGAGGACGGCAATGATCAGGGGCACGATCACAGTCACAATGTAATCTGGGAAGTAGTCTCTGCTCGGGGGAGACTCCGGAGGGTCGAAGTAACCCTCGTCCTCCAATATCCCGGAGCCCATTGTTGGAGCAGGCGGCGCGGGCTCCATCTTTGTTCGGTCAAACTGCAGAGAGAGACGACCAAGTATGACATCTAGTCATAGTAACTGTGACTAGATGTCATACTAAATTCTGTTGGATTTAGGTCTCAAATCTCTGGGTAGGTGATTCCAGAATGTGCATTTTTTTTTGAGGAAGTCATTCTTTAGTTGATTTGGAAGGTTGTTTAGACTTAAGCATTTGTCTTAAAAATTTAACAAAAAAAAGGCCAAGCTGAACATTATACATTCCTATCTCTTATCTTATGAGTATTTAGATATTTACTTATTTATATACGGTTTAAACATTATGCTTCAAAACAACAAGCCTACACTAAAGGGATGATCTTCGTGAAGGGAGTTTTTCCACTTACCAGCTTCGTCTTGCACCAGGTGATGCAGTTGCTGGGGATTTTGCAGAAGTGGCATTCTCCAGGTACCTTCACTTTGTCCCCTCCTGCGCACTGCCTTTGGTATTGTGGCGTCATCACTCTCTGCAGACACCTGGAGAAGTACTTCTTTGACCCCACCTTCACGTACACACTAAGACAAGACAGGTTATGAATAAACAGAAACACAGATTTCAGCGCTTTTACTGGCTTTTGTGCAGGCGACTCTGTTTACCCCTCATAGTGTCCTGCAAGAGGGAGGGGAACTCTGCCTCCGCGGTCAAGGGCGTTGGTAATGTTGACAATTTCCAGCGCCTCATTGTCCCACAGCTTCTGCAGATCCTGCTTTATCTCACTTTGAACAGAAGAGGGCAGCACCTTCTCAACCTCCCTCAGCTCGATGAAGAACTCCGCTTGGTAAGGCAGCATCTTCTCTGTTAGGGAAATCTTGGATTTTATTTTTTTCCACATTTCCTCATATCCTCCTGCCACACACATTGTCTGTAGACTTCTATAAATAAAAACAAAAAACAAACAAAAAAACATGCGTACCTGGAACAGCCTTGATGACGAGAAGGTCTCTTGCTGTGTCATAGCTGTTTTTGTTGATTGCATAAATCTGGGGCAAAATAATGACAAATCTGTTAACCTTAGCTATGTTTTTTTTAATGTAGAAGTTCAGTGGTTCCTTAGTTGGTACCTTCTCAGTCGATGTTGATCTAAAGCTGTTGGTTTCACCAACATTTTATAGATTATGACAGATTTGAATTTAAAGTTCATCCTGACCATCCAAACTAATTTACTTTCAATTTGGGACCATTTGTCACACACTTTAACTACAACCAGGAGGAACTCCACCAGTTCGGACAAGAAGTGTCCTCAAAAATCCAGACAGAATTAAGCCAGAAGCTTTTTGATGACCACAAGATCTGTGTGGGTTCTCTGCAACCTGCTATAGAACATTTACCCAATTATTATAATGCGTATGCATATAGTTTTGACACAAATGCAATAAATTCAAACTTGTGAGTTACATTTTTGAGTTTTAACATTAATTGAAGTGGTCCCCAGATTAAAAAAAAAAAAAAAAAAACAGCATTGAAAAGCCCATGAATAATATGGGTTTCACTCACATTTTGAGTTTATCTGTTTGAACTAGCTGTGTGGCTTTCATCTTTACTTAACCAAAAAAACATTTTTATGTATTAATGTATTCTGTTTAATTAAAACTACATATACTTTGAGATACTTTTATATTTTTTTTTCTTCAAAGAGGTTTTACAAGTTTTTTTTTGTTTTTTTTTTAAATCCAGGCTTAAAATAGCTGCCAGAGAATCAGCCCAAACCTTTTATCTCTACAGATTTGACAGCTTGACGCTTACTGCTATTCTAATTGTCTCTAGCTGTTTTTGATGTTGGTACAGAAAAACTCCAGACCTCAATGAAGGTTTTTCCCGGAGTCGTTGGTGTGCCGTACAGGAAGCCATTCTCACTGGGACGCCTTTGGATGAAGCGGAGCCACTCTGGGAGGTCAGGATACCCCTGCTGGTTGCACTTAAAGATCATGGGGTCATTATGGAGGACCCCGGCTTCTCCATGTAAAAATAGATACAGCAGTGGGATAAAAGTGTATTTTGTCGCTGTCTGTCAATTGCTAAGAAAATGAGCGCATCAGACTTACTGTAGAGTTTTTGCGAGTAGGAATCAAAGTCACTCTGGAAATTTTCTCTCATCACTTCATATGTAAACAACCTCCCCACAGCAATGGTAAATTTGATTTCGGCACTGATCTCACACAAGGTGGCAGCGAAGACTGAGTGGAAGTAAAAAAAAAAAAAAAAAAATGACATTGAGTATAATGTAAAAAGAAAAAAAAATGCCAAAATCATTAAAAAATGACTAAAGCAGGTCAGTTGTTTAGTCACATCACTGCATGGCTGAAATCACAGGTAATATTTCCATTCAATAACACAGACTTAAATGTAAGACATGAAGCTTATTTTTGGTTTCTTTAATCTCATGAAACTTAAAGTTTCAGAGTTAAACTTGCCTGCTGAAATGAAAAGCCAGCTCCTGAATCCCGCCATCTTGTTTTTGGCCTTTGACTGACGGAGCCAAATGTAGAGGCGGGAAGGGTGGGTGGAGGGTGGTCTCCACTGTTAAAACTCATGCCAAAGTTATTTTTGCCTCACTCACCTAACAACATCCGGACTGGTGTCTGTCTGTAAATTGTCACACTTTTTTTTAAAATTATTTTTTACTTGTTTTACATGTGGAAGAAAAACCGTTAAGAGGCAGCAAAAGATTTTAGACTGAGGTGGAGGTTCACCTTCCAGCAGATCAATGACCCTGAACAGTGAGAACTAATGCAATGGTTCAGATCAAAGCCTGCTATAGACTTTAAATCTGGATCTTCACCAAAGTTAACAGAGCTTGTCTTGAACTATTTAGTAAAAAAAAAAAAGAATGAGTAAAGATTTCATTTTCTAGAACTACAAAGCTGAGAGATGTATCCAAAAGACCTGAAGCTAAAAGCTGATCCTACAAAATACTGAGACCAGGGAGGGGTGAATATAAAGTCGCTTTTCAGTCCTTGACGTTTTGATTGCTTATTGATCGTCACCTGATGCTTTGAAATGCAGCTTTAGAATATAAAGAACATATACTCCTCATATAAACCAATATATGATGCATCTTGAATATGGCGCAGCTTCGAGGCTTTTGAAATGAAAATAACCCTTTGGGCAACTTTTTAACACCCAGTCTGGCAAGTCCTGTTTTAAAGCTGAACGTAAAGAGAATACTTTCTAGTGACGGCCCGCAGCACAGAACATGTCTGTCAGCGAAGATGCACAATGCAGGAAGCAACAGTCTGAGCTGCAAATAACGGGAGCGCTATTGGCCGACAGGGTTTGACGTGAGCGAGATTTCATTGGGTCCTAACGCCGTCGGTTTAGTCCACAGATTGTACTTCGGAGCATCTAGGAATAGCATTCACTAAAAATGTTTTTGATTTTTTTCTGTTTTGTAAGTGGAGGCCATTAGCTACTACGACGTCCCCTCCGCCCCCACCTGTCCCCCTTGTTGCTATTTCTAAGTGCTTGATTATTTTTAATCTTTTATTTATGCTGGAATATTCCCGTCTCATTTACGAGAGACCTATAAATGGGACATTTTCTCTCACAGTTCTATGGAAAACCAAAAGTACCACAATGTAACAAATAAGCAAGTTCAAATTCATAAAAAAATAAAATAAAATAAACGCACAAAGAAATATTTAAATGCATTAATTATTAAACAAAATTACAATATGTTTTGAGGAATGTCTAATAGACCCCATTTAGGCTACATTTGGTGGCAAGTAGACTCAACACTGGGTTCGTCCATATGAGATCTCTGCACAGAGGCACATTGAGGTTGACATTGAGGGGGAACTTATTTAAACAGCATTAACATAGAAAAGTATTTAACTGTTGGCTTTCATAATGAATATTTACAATGATTTGTGTGTGTGTGTGTGTGTGTGTGTATATATATATATATATATATATATATATATATATATATATATATATATATATAATGTGTGTGTGTGTGTGTCACTTTTGGCCTTCCACGTTTGACTCCTTTGTGCTTGGGGGATTTCGGATTTAACCGGCGGGCCTTATGACCCGGAAGCTTCCTCCTGCATGCAGCAGCAGTCTGCCGCTACAGGAGGACCAGAAATCTGCAGCTCACAGAATGAAGAGATCAAAATGATGCTGCCTCCAAAAAGGGATTAAACGTAAGCAATCTGTCGTCAGTTTGTGCTAAATCCGCCGCTCATCTCCGCTTTATTCTCCCCGTGCAAATATCTGACTGATTACTGCAGATATCCAAGGAGGTTTAGGTTTGCACCGTGTCTGCATGCGAGCTATTGACAGATGCATCGTGCTCACTTTCTCTGACAATTGCAGCGGATTCAGGCAGGCCTTTGATGCGATCTGTTGTTTGTGTTTAGTCCGGGCTGGGCGCCACCTCGCTGGGATCCGCCGCCGGGTGGAGGAACAACAGATTTTGGGAGGGGAGTGGAAGGGAGACATGAGGTCGCTGAGCATCCGTCGCGACGCCTGACCGAACATGATGAAGACCGAATCCACATCCAAGAGCACCAGCTCCACGCTCAGGAGCCCGTCCCCGCACAGGAACGCGTACGAGGCGGGGATGCAGGCCCTGAAGCCGGTCAAAGACGGCGCCGCCAATGGGGACGTGCAGGAGGGCCCCCGGGGCCGCAGGTACGGCTCCAACGTGCACCGCATTAAAAACATGTTCCAGCAGATGCAGACCACGACCGGGGGCGACGTGGAGGCGGAGGACGACGCCAGGACGGTGCGCCTGTCCCTGCCCAGAGCCGGCAGCTTAAATGAAAACGTGGACCACAGCGCGCTGCTGAAGCTCGGCTCCACCGTGTCCCAGCGCGTCAACAAGTTCGACCCCAAGGCAGAGAACGGGCACCAGCGGGCCTCGTCGCCCAGCTACTCCAAGCTGCAGGAGACCCGCCGCATCTTCGAGCAGCAGCAGCAGGAGAAGCAGGAGAGGCTGGAGAAGCTGAGCACCACCCGGGTGCTGCTGAAGACCGACAAGACCCCGGCCTTCCAGGATGGCAGGCTGGACATGGTGTCTCGCTTTAACGGCAGCACAGAGTCCCTGGACAGCCTGGACACCAGCGAGGCGGTGTCCCCCACGGTGAGCCAGCTCAGTGCTGTGTTTGAGAGGGCGGCTGAGCTGCGGAACAACCTTCACCGGCTCTCCTCCACACCGCCACTCCCTTCCCGGGGGGTCACCACCAAGGTGGGGGTGTTGAACTCAAAGATAATCACCAAGAGGGTCAGTGCCTTTGCATCAGGCCACCAGGAGGAAGAGATAAGCAATCAGAAGGGCAGAGAGGGGCCGCCCAGGGGCCTTAGAGGAAGGGTCACGCCTCCATCCGAAAGCATCAATGGAGGCAAGATTGCCAGCAAATGTCCCACCGCCGAACATTCAAGTAATGTAGGAGAGTCCATTGAGCAAAGAGAAAAGACTGTTGTGGATGTTGGTGTGGAGGCCAAAGAGATTGTCCAACATGAAAATCTGCCTGGGGCCAAGGGGCCCAACAGCACAGGTGACCTCCACGGGTCTGTGGAGAACGGAGAAGATGCTGCAGAGGCCAGAAGTTCTCCAAAGACCGACGAGATGCTGGCACAGGGGCAGGAGAAGGAAGACCAGGACGACAGGACTCAGAGGGACGACAAGTCGGAACGTGACCTCACAAACATCAGCACCTGCAGCACCATGGGGGACGATTACGGGGAAAGCCAGAAGGATGAAGAGGAAGAGGAAGAGGAGGAGGAGGAGGAGGGCGATGAGCGCTATGAGCCTGAGTCCAGCTGCGTGGAGATTCCTGGCCTTCCCGTTGAGGAGGACCCGCCCCCGTCCAGGAAGATCCGCTTCTGCACAGAGCCCATCAAGGTGAGGAGGGACGCAGCACTGAAACACCTAGCGAGCAGAAATAACCACAATCAGAAGGAGAGGCTTTCTTTTATTTTCATAGAGGCAGCCCAGTGTTTTCAAGGATTTCTTTTGTGTTTCACTAGAAATTGCACACCGACGCTAAAAAACCTCAGCTGGGGAACACAGCATGGATTTCAAATGCAGGAGTCTGCAAAATGTTCTTTTGGTTTAGAGACATAAACTGAAGTGATCAGGTGACAGATTTGACTTGCAGTAAATTCTGAAGAGAAAGCACTAACGACCAAGTGGGAAATTTAAGTTGTCACGTCGTCAGAAAAAAATAAACGGAAAAACAATTGAGGGGAAAAAAAACAAAACACATCCTCCAAAATAAAATTAAGAAAACACAATAAAGCGGCTCGGTTTATTTTCTGTGATGCGATCAGAGGCATATATGTGCATGTGGGAGCTTGTTTTTGGCAGCGTAGATTTGATCGTGATCAAATAATTACAAAAAATGAACGCAAATATTAACTATGCCGTTTTACACTGTAGGTGACAAACCAAATCTAAAAGGTTTCAGATCAAACAACTTTTCATCTCAAAGATATCCCAGCTTTTTTGTCCATCAATAGAAGATTGATTATCTGAAATATTTAAGTGAATTTGGTTTCATTTATATAGCATGATAGACATACAAATACAACTATTTTATTAAAGAAATACATTATTAACTCCATCCACTCATTCACATAAAGACATCTGTGAGGAGGCCGAAAACATTTTTTTAAATTTTTTCCAGATTTGTGCTCCAAAAACTTGAGGAATTAAACTAATCGATTAAACAACTGGAAATTCTGATCGACTGGGTCCCAATGCTTTGCTTCCTCGTTCCAGACGGTACCAGACGGAACCGTCTACGGAGACGGGGTGCAAATAACAGAGAGGGTGTTACGAGCTGTGACGAAGCAGTGTTTGTACGTCATGTCGTGTTCTGGATGGGGAGAACAGGCGGCGTGCAGGTCAGAGCGTGGTCACAACTGCAGCCTGACGCGAGGTGCTCCCTGCCTGCTGAGGTTCGTGGCGTTTGTCTGACTCGACAGAACTTGACGCTGATTCCAACAGAAAGCTGTCCGAATACACGAGCGCATCACGCACGTTTGCCGCACACACGGAGCTCAAAACTGCACAACGGAGAGGAGCCGCGGTCACGATGCTTGGCCTGGTTGTTAAATATTTCCTGTAAGTATGTGGCGTATGACCTTGGGTGGTAATCTGCCTGGGCTACAGTCCCTAATTAGAGCTTTTGTCAGCATTTTTACTGAACCTGCTCAGCTTTCTCCCGCCCTCGAACAGATGCTGACCTTTTGATTTTTTTTTCCCAACACTGGGATCAGCACGGCAGTGAAATCCACAAATTATACTAGCTAGCTGCTTAGAGTTCCTGCTGCGAACAAAAAAAAAAAGAAGAAATTTGCAGGCTTAGCTTTAAAGAGAATTTGAAATCCATATAGGACAACAAAATAAATGAATGTTTTTGATAAGTTATCATAATTAAAACAAAAAAAATCAATGTTTTGTTGTTTCAGCAGTAGCATTAACTACAGCTGCTTTTTATGCTACAAATAAAAGCAATTATATAATGTTGGGTATTTATGTTTTGAA